CCCGTGGTTCAATGGTACTCTCGATGCCGCGGGCATGCCCTGATTCGGTAGTGTTTCGCAAGGCGCGAAACCAATCAACGAACAACGCAACTGCCAGACACACCAATCGCTGAACGCGTGTTGGCGGATTTGCGTTTCTGTGCGTGTCTTCGCGGAACCACTCTCTATTTGGATTTGTGCAGCCGTGGGGAATCCAGTTGCATCCAGCAACCATCGCGGGAACAAATGTTCGACGAGGAGATACCCATATGCGAAAGAGCGTGTTCTACCGCTGCTGGCGGAAAACCGGGGGGGGTCACTACCGGTTCGAACCCCTCCCCCCCCCTCCCCTCTCTGGAAAACCGGGGGGGTTCACTACCGGTTCGAACCCCTCCCCCCCCCCCCCTCAGTCCATCATGAAAACGGGGGGAGTCACTACCAGTTCGAACCCCCCCCCCCGCACCCCTCGAAAACTGGGGGGGGGGCGGACAGTGGTGGGGACTGTGGTGTTAGGGACAGTGGTGAGGGGGCAGCGGGACAGTGGTAGGGACAGTGGGACAGTGGTGGGGACGGTAGCGGTGGGGACAGTGGTGAGGACAATGGTGGGAACAGCGGGGACAGTGGGACAGTGGTGGGGACGGTGGTGGTGGGGACAGTGGTGTGGGGACAGTGGGAATGTGGTGGAAACAGTGGGACAGTGGAGGGTACAGTGGTGGTGGGGACAGTGGTGAAGGCGGTGGCGAGGACGGCGGTGGGACAATGGGACAGAGGTACAGTGGGGACAGTGGTGGGGACAGTGGGGACAGTGGTGGGAACAGTGGGACAGTGGGACAGCTCAGTAGGACAGCGGAGGAGTCAGTGGGACAGTGGGGACAGTCGGGCAGTGGTTGGGGCCGTGGAGAAGTGGGGAGAGTGGAACCGTGGTGGGAACAGTGGTGGGGACAGTGGGGACAGTGCGACAGTGGTGGGGGCACTGGTGGGGACAGTAGGGACGGTGGTGGAACCAGTGGGGACAGTGGTGGTGAGGACAGTGGTGCTGGGAACAACAGTGGGGGATGTGGTGCGGACGGTGGTAGGGACCGGGAGTCGTTTGCTGGCGGTGAGGGGGGGGGGGAGGGGAGGGGGGGGGATTTTCGGAGGGGGGGGGGACCCCCCAGTTCCGGAGGAAGAGGGGGGGGAATTTTCCACAGTAAAGCGGCGGTGGATCACGCTCTCTTCCATATGTGCATCTCGTTTTTTGGCACGTCCCGTTGTGAGTGTGTGCCCGTGAGTGTCTGGGTAAGAGATCGAGTCTAAGGAAGCGACGAGTACGACGGCGGCTACGAGGAGGGGCGGCGACCACGACCATTCACAGACAGACAGGCGATGAGCAGGCCCCATTCCCTCTCCTTCCTCTTACTATTCATCGTACTCCCTTTTTTCTGTTCCTCCCTCATCCCTTGTCCCTCTCCCTGCGTCATCCGTCTTCCTCCTCCCTGCTCCGTCCTCCTTGCTCCGTCCTGGCGGCCGTCCTTCTCCCGACATCGAAGTTATGGTGCTCTGCTCTGAATGGGCAGGGGTCGAGTGTGCAAAGCCGAGCGCCTCGTTCGATGCATCCCCGCGATCTGGCCGCCTGGGGTGTTGAATCCAGCGCCTCGCTCAAGATATCTTCGCAATATCTTTGAAAGCACCGACGTCCAAGCCACCAAACAGGCAAACCGCCTGAGACCGTAGACGGGCTGACGGCGATGTAGGTAACGGCGATGTAGGTTTCGGTATTTTGGGAACGCGTGGCTCGCGCGTTTCTACAAATCGCTGTGTCGTGATCGCTCGATCCATTCGCAGAGTGGAAGCGTAGGAAAGCGTGGTTCGTGATTTCCTACACCCTGGTTCCCAACATCACCATTTAGCGGCATCGCTGTTGGCCCAGCCTCTGAGACGTCCGGCAATCTGGGCGCGAAGGGGCACACGACTTCCCCCGGCGGTTATCTCTTAGGGTGCTAAAAAACATCCCTGCCCCCTCCCTCCTCCTCCTCCTCCTCCTCCTCCTCCTCCTCCTCCTCCTCCTCCTCCTCCTCCCCCTCCCGCCCCCTCCCGCCTAAACCAGTGCCTCGCTCGAGACATCCTCACGATCTGTGTTGTAAGCACTGGGGTCCAGCCGACCAGATACGCGAACCACCGCCACAATCTGGACGCGAACAGGCGAGTGCCCCCATCCCTGACGGCTCCTCCGTGGGGTGGTGAAACCATCGGTTCGCTCAAGGCATCCTCACAGCTTGCTGTAAGCTCACCGAAGTCCGACCCACCAAACAGGCAAACTGCCTGAGACATCCCCGCAGTCGGGGTGCGAGCGGGCAAATGTCCCCAACCTTGGCGGTTCCTTCTGGGGGGGCTCAAATGCCATGCATGCTACATCGCGATGAGCATGGGGTTCTAAAATGAAAGAAGTCCGATCAAACAAACAAGCAAACTGCCTGAGACATCTCCGCAACCTGGGCGCGAACGGGCAATGGTCCCCAACCCTGGCGGCTCCTCCTGGGGGTGCTCAAAGGCGACGCCTGCTACATCGCGATGAGCATGGTGCTCTGAAAAGAGAGAAGTCCAATCAACCAAGCCAGCAAATAACCTGAGACATTCCCATAATCTAGGCGTCAATGGGCCCCGCGGCTCCTCTCTGGTGCCCTCAAGTACCACGCCTGCTACATCGTGATGAGCATGGGGCTCTGACTGTAGGAGTCTGAACATCACTTGAGTGAGTCGGAGTATGGGCGAGTCTGGGTATGAGTGGATCTGAGTGAGAGTGAGTCTGAGTATCAGTGAATATGAGTGGGAGTGAGTCTCAGTATCAGTGTGTCTGAGTGTCAGTGAGCTTGAGTGCGAGTCCATCTCAGTTTGAATTAGTCAGAGTACGCGTGATCTGAGTGTGAAGGAGAAGCAAGCGGGAAGGGAGGAACTGGAGGCGCCTTCAGTAGCAACAGGACGCCCATACTTCCGACGTGGGGTGAACACGCACACGGAAACCGCGTGGGGGCGGTGGGCAGGCTTCCGTGCTCTCACCAGGGCAGGAAAAGGGCGCCCACGGCAGCGGGCATTCGATGGCCCTGGCGGTGGTGGGCGCGATCCCTCCATTTCCGTCTACGTCGAAGGAGACTGTTTCTGTGCAGGGTCCAGCGATAACTCGGGTTATCGAGTCCGCCCTCGCCCCCCCCCCTTAGATAGCTTGACCTTGTCCGTTGCGCAGGTCCGAAGTGGGTGCGCAGTATTGGTGCGCGCGGGCATACATGGGGCTGCCCAAAGCGAAAAAAATAGGTTCAGCGACCGGCACCTCCCCCCTCAGCGGAAAACCCGCGTCATCGCCGGAAAATAGACCCACTTGTCTCAAGGACATTTTAGCGACCTCAGCCCAGACCTCCGACGTCTTGCACAACAAAATCAAGACGAAAGTTGTTTGCTCTCGGGCCTCGGGGCGCTGCTTTTAGGCCCTGGGGCCGCCAAACGATGGGGACGCGAGGCTGGGGCCTTCGTTTCCGAGAGTTCCAGGGACTGTTGTGTTGAACCATTCGGCCTTGCTCAGAGTTGTGTAGATTTTTGTTTTATTGTTCGCCCCATGGACCTACTCCCTCGACTTGGACCCTGCATGCCGCTCTGCTAAGCCGTGAGTGGGTCGCCTGTCTCCAGCAATTTTCGCGGACAAACAGTAACACGCACGACAATCGCGTCAGCCCGACGGCATGGAAATTGCAAGCATTAATGTTTGAAGGTCTACGTGCATTTGTTGCGTCAGCGTTGAACGCCTCTTGGCGCCGACTCTGGCGCGCTCCGCGCGGCAGTGGCGGGGAATTTCAGCGCCGAGCCAAGAACTCCGCGTGGGCCTTTGACGTGTGTCGTCAATGCTGCTGCTTGCCCTTCGAGCCCAACGCGCTCGTCTTTGTCCTCATTCGTCCCCTCGGTTCCTACAGTCAACCCGCACAGTAAGGATGGGCAACCTTCCCAAGGGTACCCTTGCATCCGTGCCTCTTCGGTCCATCCTCGGCCACTTTCGCTGGCCGCGCCCCGCTCGAAGAGCCTCGAGATGGGCGTCCGAGGCCCTTTGCGTCCCTATCGCGCACCCTTACCACACTGGTTGACTGTACAGTGCCGTTTTCAATACATGCTCCGCGTGAGGATCATGTATTAGAAATGCAGGGATTTAGTACTAAAAACAATTATGAATTCAAGCCTAAATTCATTCATAAATCAATCATGCATTAAACATCTTATATGATTGAAAATCCTATGTATTGAAAACTGCCCTGTAGCTCTTGGAGTTCATTTCGCCCTGTCTGCTCGTCCCTCTTCTCGGAAACTGGAACATGTACATTACCAGTGGCCGGCTGTTTTTCAACCCCAGAACCTCTTGAGGGTCGAGGACGATGCTGGGGTGGTGTGGTGTACACGTTTTTTCCCCGATGTTCCGAGGAAACAACGAAAAATGTATACACCAGGGTCCCGTATACACCAGGATCCGCTCTCCAGTGCAAATTCCAATGCAGGGCCCGAAGAAGCGTCGGTGTCCAGAGTTCGATTCTCGGGAAACGAGCTCTATACACAGATTTGTTCGGGTGGCGATCACGGGCTGCCAACGCCCGAATCTGGACTCTCGGTGGCGATCACGGCTTGGAATCTCGGGTTGGCAGAGTACCACGCGTTGCCCATAGATCTGGACCGTTGTTATTTTCAGTACGTTGGATAGGTGCGCTGCTTCGCAGATAAATAGTTTGGAGTGGCGCAGCACATTGTCATTGGAAGCCTAGACATATGGACGTACAAACCTTATCTGTCGGACCCAGATCTTTGCCAACGCACAACGCAACGTCTGCATCATGGACCAAGAAAAATATGGTCGTACGTTCTCTAAGTGGTCCCACCGCCGACGTCCCTAGAAGCTGTTCTGAACGCATGCGCGGAAAGGCATCCGCGTTCGTTCGCTCGTTCGGTAGCCTCCATCGTCATAGGCCTCATCGTCGTCCTCCTTCTCCTGCCCTGGCTTTGCGAGCGTGCAGGACGTTCCAACTGTTGATTATGTCGCGCGCTATGTTGCAGCTGAACAGCAGAAGGAGTGCTGCATACTCTTTCCTTAATGCGCACTGTGCCGGAGCAAGGGCAGGACGACGCTGACGTAGCCGCATGCGCGGTGCATTCGTTCAGTGAGGGCATGGCAGGGCATTCGTTTTAGCGCATTCGTTTAGTAAGGGGGCTCATTTTCCTTTGCAGTCTCTTCGTGTTCCCCTCCCCCGCCACAACTTCGCCCTCCGTCTGTGCTCTGCCTTTCCGCCTCTATCTCCTCACCCATCCTCCTTATACCATTCCCTTCTTCCACCTCCTGCTCCTCATCTTTATCCTCCGCCTTCGATTCTTCCTTCTCGCCCTCCCTCCCATTCCATTCCCATCCCTCTTCCACCTCCTGCGCCTCATCATCAACTTTATCCACAGTGCTTCGTGGCACCACGTCCGAACAGACTGTCGTTTCACGGGGCAGCTGATACTATTCCCAAACAATTTTGTGGTGTTGGGTCCTCGTTTTGAGGCCGCGCCCCGCGTCCACCCCGTCCTCCCCCTCCTCCCTCTTCCCACCATCATCGGTAGCATAATCATCGTCATCATCGCCGTCGTCGTTGTCATCACCATCGTCATCATACTCATCATCATCATCATCATCACCAGCATCATCATCGTCATCATCGTCACCATCGCCATTGCTATGGTCATCGTCATCATGGCCATCACCTCGTCATCATCGCCGCCATCCTCACCAACAACACCATCAGCTATGGCACATATCTCACACGCTTCGTGGCCCCATAGGGAGCTCCACCTAAGGCCCCAGTGGAGGTGTCCACATGCGTCCGCGCCACCCATGTCGGCACACCCCTGACACGCTTCGTGGCCCCACAGGGGGCTCCACCGAAGACCCCAGTGGCGGTGTCCACATGCGTCCGCGGCACCTTCTTCGGCACACCCTTCACTCGCTTCGTGGTTTCATAGAGAGCTCCACCGGAGGCACCAGTGGATGTGTCCACACGCGCCCGCGCCATCCATGTCGGCACGCCCCTCACACGGTTCGTGGCCCCACAGGGAGCTCCACCGAAGGCGGTGTCCCCTCCGCAGCCACTTGGCTCAAGATGTTTTCCTGGGGGGTTGTTCAGCCTCCTGGCAAATCTCCTGTCTTTCTGGCGGCGCGCGCGCGGGATCTCCTGCTAGCAGCTGTCACCCTGAGTGTGTCTCGGCCATGGCAGCTCAGCGGCACTGCGCATGTGGAGAGGTGCCTCCCGCCGCCCGTCCCAGGGGCACGAAGGCCTCGGGACGGTCGTGCACCGCGTGTTCGGGGACAGTGGGATGGCGGGCCTCCTCGGCGTCAATGGGGGCGGAATGGTAAGACTTTTTCGACAACAACGGGCAGCCAAACCTATGACAGCGGCGGAGGAGGGGACCCTAAGCTTGTCAAGCCTGGTTCTGGGACCACCCTCTCCACGAAGCAAATCAAGACAGGAGCTGTGCTTGACGACGCCACTTGGGGCGCTGCCGAGCTCACTCTCAGCCAATGGAGCCGAAGCAAAGTGGAGAATGCTCGTCGTGCTGCTGCGGCTGGACTGCTTGGAAAGACAGTTCCGCAGCGCGTGGGCACGGTGGCGAGGCTGCTGACACGCAAGGTCTCCGCTTCACCGCGATCAGGAGCGGGCTTTCAAGGCATTGGAACACGCCCACAAGTAGCGGTTGGACATCGCGGCGCTCGAGGTCGAGCTCGCTGTCGCGAAGCGGGAGGCTGCAGCGCTCTACGGGGTCCAAGGCGGCATCAGCCCAGACAACATCGTCGACGAGCTCCAGACGATCAACGCCGACGGCGTGTCGGGCCAGATCTTCCTTCAGCGGCTCGCAGCCTTGGGCAGCGAGCTGGCCGAGAAAGCCAAGCCGAAGGCCGAGGCACCAGCCGCCCCCGAGCAGCCAGCAGCATCTGGGGCAGCACGACCAGCGTCAGCGGGCGACGGAGGCGAGGGCGCGCCTCCCGCGCACGCAGGAGGGCCAGGCGACGACCCGGATGCCGCCTTCGACGCGGCCACTGCGGCGGAGGATCCTGGCGGCGCGCTGCGCGTCTGCAGCGGCGACGATGGACGGAAGCGGGCGCGAGAGGCCCTGGGCGCGCTGCGGGCTGCCAAGAAGCCGATGGCCGCAGGTGGGCAGTCGCGGCGCAGCTCGCAGCATTGGCGGACGGCCCTCATCATAAACGCGACCACGTTCAGCAGTTTAGGGGGTTTTCTCACATGCGACACGGTGCGAAGCTGCGATATGGCAGCCGTGCAAGAGACGCGCCCCTTCCGCCGACAGGTGCGACGAGGTTGCGGACAAGCTGGCGCGTTCCGGTTGGCGCGCTCTCGCAGCCCCTTGCGTCGACGTCTCTTTCGGCCATGCTGGCCGAGGTCGAGAGGCCTCGGCGACTTCGAGATCGGGCATGGCCGCGCGCTTGTGCTTGTGCGCGCGCCCTGCGCATGTGGCGGGCCCCTTGCCTGGTGGACTCGCGCGGTTAAACTTACATCTCAAAGTGAACGAGGACCTCTCCGAAACATTCTTGGGGATCCTCGACAAGGTAGCGCGCGCGGCCCGCGCGCCCAAGAAGCCCTTCGTCGTTGCAGGGGGCTTCAACGCGGAGCCTAGCGAGCAGGCCAGCGCGGGCTTTCTCCGCGGCGTCCCGGGCGAAGTCGTCTCGCCCGCGGACGGTGCCATCAGGCCTTCGGACCGCGTCGTCGACTACTGCGTCGCGTCGAATGTGATTGTTAAGGTCACGGCGAAGGTGCTGCACGGTTGGGGCCTTGCGCCGCCTTCCCTTGCGGTGCCGCGCTTCAATGCTGGCTCGGTGACCAAGCGCGCGTCGGCGATGCGCCCCCCGAATATAGCTGCCGTGGCCGACGCCCCGCGCGCGCGCTGCAGCGAAGGCCGCGGCGCCACGCTGGAGAAGACGCGCTGGGGCATATCAGAGGCTAGCACGCACAACGGCAAGTGGCAGGCCTTCATTATCAGCGCCGAGTGGAACATTCCGGACGCGATCGGTCTCCCGCACGGCTTCGACGCCTACGCTGGAAGGGCCAGCAGGCCCGCGCTGACGGCGGCGGCGCCGAAGCCCTTCCCGCCATGGCTTCCGAGGCTGGAGGCGGGGGCGTCGTGGCCCTAGAGCGCCGCCGTCGCGCTGACGGGCGCCATCCAGACGGACTATCCTCTTTGGCGGTTTTGGGCCTAGGACGCACTGGGCAAGCTGCGCGAGAAGCAGCCCGGCATTTCCAACGACGCGCGCAACGACCCCCGGCGTCGCGCACGCTGCCGAGTCCATAGACGTTGGCCAGCTGCAGGTCGCGAGCGCGGTGGCGGGGGCCACGGCCGACAGGATCGCCGCGCCGCGCGCGACGTTGACAGGAGCAGGGGAGGTTTCGACGAGGGGGTGATCGAGAACCGCCTTGAAGGCGCGGGGGCCCTTCACGCCCTAGCCAAACCTCCCCGGGGCTGGAAGCCGCGGCCTGCTGGCCGCGAGGAGGGCTCTGCCACGCCCCCAGAAACTGCGAGGGCTATGGCGAGGAAGGAGTGGCCAGGGTGCCTGGGGGCGGGTGCCCCTAATACTTTGGGCGGCAAGCTGGGCGAGGCTGCCACCCCCTGGCCAGACGACTGGGGCGACACGCATCCTCGGCCAACGGTGGACGAGGTCAGGGCCGTCATCGCGTCCGACGACGAAGGCGTCGATGCGCTCATCGACCTCGCGATGGCCATCGAGATGGCCTGCGACTGGCCCCCCACCATTACAGAGCTCGCCTTCGTCCCGAGGGCGGACGGAGGACTGCGCCCCGCTGCTCATCTGGGCGCGGCGGTTCGCATCGACGGCGGGCCCCGCAGGCCTACCGCGAAGAAGTGGAGGGCGGACCACGACAGACCCCGCTGCTGGGCAAGCTCGGGGAAGAGCTGCGGCCGCGCCGTCTGGCCGCAGCAAGCGCGGCCTGGGTGAGTGCAGATGATGGCCGATGCCCATGCGCACCAGGGCTGGGCCCATGACATGCGACCATCCTCATGGATCTGTGGAAGGCCTTCGAGCAGATCTCGCACCCGCACTTGGCCGAGGCTTGCAAGCGGCACGGTTGCCCTCTCTGGCTGGCCAAGTGGCAGGTGACGCTCTACAGGCTGCCCAGGGTGGTCAGCTTGCAGAACTGCTGCTCCGACCAGCTGGTAATCTGCCAGAAGTGCTGGCGGTCGCCGCGGTCGCCGTTGCCTTCGCGGAGATCATGCTGCTCGCACCGCTCGTCGCGATGGCGGCGCAGTCATGCATTGATACCTGCGGTGGTCGTCTACGACCTGGTGCTGCAGCGATGTGGAGGATCCGAATGGGTTGCCCAGACACTCTCCAAGGCGGCGGAGGCCGTCGCACGCACGTTCGCGAAGGTCAGGTTCAAGGCTGCTGCCAGGAAGTCGAGAGTCCTGGCTAGCCACAAGATGCTCAGGGACAAGCTGCAACGGCTCCTGGGCAGGGCCACGGGGGCCATCGGCGCCGAGGAGGTCCCCGGCGTGGACCATGCGGAGCGCGGACGCAGGTCCAACGCCATGCGCATGATGAGGATTGCGCAGAAAAGGTTGAGGCTGCCGCGCATCAAGCGCCGCCCCCCCCTCCCCCCCCCTTGGCACACGAAGAGGGCACGCTGCGGCTGCCAAGGTGGCATCGACGGGGCTGGCCCCCAGTCTCTTCCACGGGGCCAACTGCACGGGGCTTAACGACATGGAGCACAGGCAATCGCGCGCAGTCGTCAGGCGCGCCGCCGAGCCGAGGCCGCAGGGCGAATATTTCACGGCTTGCTTATAATAGTCGGAGGCTCGGACACGCTGAACACGATCTTCTGCGCCACGCTCGGGCCGTGCTGCTCTCCCGCCAGGGCAGTCTGGGAGGACTGGGTCCCCGCGGGGCAACTGGGGGCTGCCTTCGACGGCACTGTCGCTCCGAAGGATTGGCTACACTGCGCAGAGCATGCGCAGGTTGGTCAGGCCGACACGGGACGAGCTAGACCTCTTCGGCATCTCGCCGCGTTACTTCAAGAAGGTCCTCATCCTGGGCATCAAGACATGGCAGGTGAAGCAGCTTGCAAGCAACGCCCACGGCGACCTGGCGCAGGGCGCGTTCATCCCGACGGTCAGGCGCTGCATCGGCTAAGGCATGGGTAGCACTCCAGGGGCGCGCAAGCGGAGGGCCCTCACGCGACGAGCGGGGCTACTCGAAGTCAGTGGTGGTGCAGGGGCAGCGGCCCGACAAGGGGCGCCTCTACCCGGCCCCACGGCTGGCGGCCACGCCGCGTTGTCTACTCCACCTCACAGTCCCCGGCGCGCTCAGGCATCGGCACCTGGAGTGCAAGGAGGGCTGGCTGGACCACTCGCTGTCTGCGGAGATCGAGAAGCTGACGCCATTCCGCGCGAGCATCACGATCAAGAGTCCGGTAGAGCGGCTCCTTCTCCCCGAGCCGCTCCACGCGTGGAGGCCGCCAGGCGATGACCTCCTGGCGCGCCTGCAGTCGATCAAGGGATACGACGGCATGCCGTTTGCCAACAGCGAGTTGTTCTCCGATGGCGCCGTCTACGAGGGCGGCCACTCGCTCGCCCGCGCGCTGGCCGAGCTGCCCCCCGGCGGTCTGCTGGAGGACCCTGGGCCCACGTCCGCCGTCCAGACGTTGGGGCGCCCCTCACAGGGCCGCTGCAGGCAATCGAGTTCGCAGAGCTGTTGGACCTGTTCATGCTGCTCGAGCACCCCTTGCCGCCCATCGCGGCTGCGTGCGATGTTTCGTTCGTCGCTAGTGGGCTGTTCGAGCGCGGACGCGCTGTCGCAACCGCGTCGACGTCGGCCTGGGGGGCTCTGCGTCGCAGGGCCTGGCAGGCGCTCGACGACTTCTGCGCCGACTTGGGCGACCAAGCCCTCGCAGCCTCGCAGTCAAGACGGCCGCGGGCCGCGTGCATGAGCGACGCGCTGCGCGGCAGGATTGGCGCGGCAGCGTGGAGGTGGACAGGCGTGCCAAGTACGCGGCGCAGGTTCTCCGATCTCCTGCCAGCGCCAGGGCGGCTCGTCGGGCCAGGGCGCCCACTCTCTATGGAGTTGCCCACTGGATCGACACCGCCGGCGCGGAAGCGGTCCAGCTCCGCCAAGACTTCGACGACAGTTACAGCGAGTGCAAGAAGGGCCCGCCCCTTTCATTCACGAGGCACGAGACCATCAAAATTGCCTCCGGTGGGGTCCATTGCGCCAAGTGCCTCAGGTCGGCCCGGGGCGCGCGCGGCATCTCGAAGCTCGACGGCCACGTCAGCAACGCGGAGGCCTTCGCTCCCAATGCCAGCGGCTCCAAGCGCAGGAGACCAGCGTCGGCCCTGCCTGCGGCTGAGGCGACCGCAGTCGCCCTTGCCATCGCGCGCTGGGTGGAGGCCGACCGAGAGCGTCAGTGGTGGCCCCGAGGCGGAGGCTGACGACGGTGATGGCGAGGCCGCGGCAGACGCTGTCTCGTGGTCTGGCTCGCTGAGTGTCGCGAGCGAGCACGAGCTCCTCACCATCAGCGGATACCGCGCGTGCAGGAGCTGCCACTGCTACGCGGGGGAGATCAGGGGCAAGCACAGGGCGCTGGCAAGCCAGTGCCAGCCCGCGGCAGGCGAGGTGCACAGAGCCAGGCTGAGGAAGGTCGAGTTGATGAGTGCTGGCCTTGACCCGAAGTCGAGCAAACCGCAGAGGAGCCTCACTTCCTCATGACAGGCTTCCTCTGCGGCGCTGCAGGCCTTCTGCGCCATTTTGGCGAGGGCGTGTGTGGCTGCGCCAATGTGCGGCCCTGCGGCTGCCCAAGATGGGCGCCCTGCGGCGAGGCCGCGAACGGTGCGCGCAGCGTGCGCCGCGCGGGTGGTGGAAAAAAATGCGGTGTCCACATGCGCTCGCGCCACCCATGTCGGCACAACCTTGACACGCTTCGTGGCCCCATAGGGAGCTTCACCTGAGGCCCTCGTGGCGGTGTCCACATGCCTCCACGCCACCCATGTCGGCACACCCTTCACACGCTTCGTGGCCCCATAGGGAGCTCTCCCGAAGGCGGTGTCCACATGCGTCTGCGCCACCGATGTCGGCACACCCTTCACACGCGTCGTGGCCCCATTGGGAGTTCCACCGGAGGCCCCAGTGGGTGTGTCCACATGCGTCCGCGCCACCAACGATGGCCTCACACGTTTCGTGGCCCCATAGGGAGCTCCACCGAAGTCCCCAGTGGCGGTGTCCACATGCGTCCATGCCACCCATGTTGGCACACGCCTCTTATGTTTCGTGGTTCCATTGGGATTTTCACCAGAAAGGCCCCAGTGGCGGGGTCGACACGCTTCCGCACAACCCATGGCGGCACACCATTCACACGTTCCGTGGCCCCACATGGAACTCCACCGAAGGCCCCAATGGTGGTGTCCACATGCGCCCACGCAACCCACTGCAGCACACCATTCACACGGTCAGTGGCCCCATAGGGAGCTCCACCGGAAGCCCCAGTGGTGGCATCCGTATCCACATGCGTCCGCGCCGCCAGTGTCGGCGTCCACATGAGTCCGCGCCACCTATGTCGGCGCACCCCTCACACGCTTTGTGGCCCAATTGGGAGCTCCACTGGAGGCCCCAGTGGCGGTGTCCACATGCGTCCGCGCCACCCATGTCGGCGCACCCTTCAATTTTTTGTGGCCCCGTAGGAAGCTCTACCTGGGTCCCTTGCGGCGGTGTTCAGATGCGCCTGCGCCACATGCGTGCACACTCCTAGGGAGCTCCACTGGAGGCCCCAGTGGCGGTGTCCACATGCGTCCGCGCCACCCATGTCGGCACACCTCTCACACGCTTCGTGCCCCCATAGGGGGTTCCACCGAAGGCGGTGTCCACATGCGTCTGCGCCACCCATGTCGGCACACCCTTCACACGCTTCGTTGCCCCACAGGGAGCTCCACCAGAGGCCCCAGTGGGTGTGTCCACATGCGTCTGCGCCACCCATGTCGGCACACCCTTCACACGCTTGGTGGCTCCGTAGGGCGCCCCACCGAAGGCCCCAGTGGGTGTGCCCACATGCGTCCGTGCCACCCATTCCGGCACACCCTTCACACGCTTTGTGGCCCCAGAGGGAGTTCCACCGGAGGCCCCAGTGGGTGTGTCCACATGCGTCCACGCCACCAATGTCGGCGCACCCCTCACACGTTTCGTGGCCCAGCTCCATCGAAGGCCCCAGTGGCGGCGTCCACATGCGTCCGCGCCACCTGTTTCGGCACACCCCTCACACGGTCCGTGGCCCCATAGAGATCGCCACCTAAGAAAACATTCACATATGCGGTCCGTGACTACCGAATGCACAGTATTGGGTCTTCTGCTAGGATCATTGGTATTTTGGACCGAAGAGGCTGGGGCCGCATTTAGGCCGTCATGGACCCTCCGGGCGCACTGGGGCGCGTTTAGACTTCTCCTGGGCGTTCGAAGCTGTTTGCTCTCCGAAGTTGGTTATCCTTTGCGCCTCGATTCAGCATTAGAAGTCGGGTTGGATTATAGACGGAAGACGCGGGATAGTATAGGCAGGACGAGGAAAGGGAACACGACAGGAACGACTAGCTCAGGGTAGCCCATGCTTGGTAGGATACTTGTAAGGTGCTCGTGGGCTTGTAATGTCTGTCAGGAGGAGGCGAAGGCGGAGGATGGGGTTTGGGATGACGAGACCGCGTAACGAGGACAGATTTGGGGAAAAGAGAGGGGGAGGAGGAGGAGGAGGAGGAGGAGGAGGATGAGGAGGAGGAGGAGGAGGAGGAGGACGCAGGAGGAGGAGGAGGAAGAGGAGGAGAAGAGGAGGAGAGAGAGAGGAGGAGTGGGAAAGGAGAGAGAGGAGGAGAGGGAGGATGTGGGAGAGGAGAGGGAGGAGAGGGAGGAGGGAGGAGGAGAGAGGAGAGAGGAGGGAGAGAGGAGGAGAAGGAGGAGGAGGACGTTGAAGAAGAAGAAGAAGACGAATAATAATGAGGAGGAGGAGGGGGAAGGAGGAGGAGGAGGAGGAGGAGGAGGAGGAGGAGGAGGAGGAAGGGGAGGGGGAGGAGGAGGACGAGCAGGAGAAGGAGGAGGAGGAGGAGGAGGGGGAGCAGGAGGAGGAGGAGGAGGCTTCGTGGCGGACGCTGGGCTTCTTGGAGCCCTCTTGGGCCAAGAAGGACCACCTGACACCTCGCGACCCACCCCCCTTCTAGACTTATGTCGGACATGTCCCTTTACAAGAGGAGTATTCAGGAACAGTGAGCAAATAGTCTGGAGATTTTTTTCGTGCTCTTTTGACTATTCTTGTTGTTTGCGACTGTGTGTACTTTCTCTTCCAAAATCCGCCTGTAGGAGGACATGCCCGACTTCGTTCTAGACCCAGAAGGAAGGGTATGGGGGTGGGGGAACCCTCTCTCCCCGAAGGGAAAGAAGGGGGAAGCTCGTCTGACCGCTCACGCCCAGAGGGCTGTTGGGATTAAGATCCAGCCCCGCGGAAGGAGTCCTGTTCCTCCGCGACCCAGGTGACGAATACGTTACGACGTCGCAGGAGAGGCAGGGAGGGAGGGGATCCGCACGCCCGCAAAGGGGACGTAGCTAATGGGGACGATGCTCAGCTGCAAATGTTGCTCAAAACCGACAATGGTCGCTGTTACGCGCCAACTTCGTCTCAGATGGGCAACGTCCGCAGCGACATAGACCGCGGGTCCTGATCAAAATGGACGGGGCCGGCGGGCGGTCTTCGTCCCCATTCATTCCGTCCCCATTCCGGTTCTCTTGAGACGAGGAGGGGGGGGACGAGGAGCCAGATGAGGAATAGTCGGTTTCAGGAGGGGGATGAGGATGGCGAGGATGAGTCTCACAGTCGAGGGAGGCCCAGCAGGCTTTCTCCTGGCCGCCTGCCTGGCCGAGGCTTCCCCCGCGCTGTGGCCGGGACTGGCGGCCGAGAGCCGAGCCAAGAGCCGCTCCCAGTACACGCACAAGGGCGGCGTGAGGCCGTTCGGCATCTCCACCCTCATCGGCGGCTACAACGCCAAGGGCAAGCCAGCCCTGTTCCAGACCGACCCGTCTGGCACACACTACGGAGGGCCGCGGGCGGGGGCAGTTTAAAGAAGACAGAAGAACATTCACACAGTCACTTCATATCCATCGGCCTCCTCCCCATCCTCTCCCTCGTCGTCGTCGCCGCGGCCGCCATCGGGCAGGCTTTGTTTACAGTAGCACAGTTTACAGCTGTCTCGAGTTCTGCGACGACGTCTCTAGTCTCAAGCTTGCGGTATTGCCGCGGCGAGATTGCACACAGCATTGTCGAAACCAATAACGGTTAGACGCCTCTAAACGACCATGTAATTGTTGTCGTGTGGTGTCGTATTTTATGTCATAGTGTTTGTTGTTCGGTTTGCCCGATGTGTGGACCTCTTGACATGGCAACAGAAATTCGGATCGAGAAGCTGACCTGGGCGTTGCCTTTTCCGGGTATTCGGGGACATGATGGTGGGTTCGGGCACGGCGTGATCTCATGGTTTCCCGTCTTCTTCCGCCCTACCCTTAAGTCGGGCTTGTCTCTCTACAGGAGGAATATTCAAGAATAATATTAAAAGATAGTATGGGGACGATGTTTTTCCTATGTTTGAATAGTTTTGGAGTGTGTTGGGGGTATGTGTTTGTTCGTCCAAAATCCGCCTGTAGAGGGACATGCCCGACCTAACCCTACCCCCCCCCCCAGCCCTCATGGGTATCCAAAGTAAGGTTCACGGCGCGAGCCTCTCGCACCAGTGCACAGTTTGTTGCTTCTTCCTGGGCCCCAGGCCTTCTGCTGCTGCTCGAGTGGTGCACGTTGTTCTTGCCGAATGGCCTCGAACGGCACGCGCAGAAGGGATGTCCACAGCATAGTTTTTACCATCGCAGGTCGCCTTTCTGGCTTCGCTGAGAACATGCCAAGCACTGTTTTATGTCGATCGGTATCGCGCCCCTTGCACGTTAACTAATAATGCTGCCCGTTGCACGTTCGGCACATTGAGTCAGATGATTGACACCAGAATGTATCATTCCAATCTCTATATATATTTATACATGTATATACATATATAAGGCTTGCAGGCAGCCTCAGATATTGAGGAGTCTCTTCGGACTGCGCGAGGACTGCGGAGGTGCGCGCGCAAAGGATCTACGAGGCACAGTGCGTTCGTGTCGTGTCGACGCGGCGGCGACCCGATTTGGGCTCTTCCCGAAGGTGTTAGCGATCTGTCTCACTCTCATGGGTCTTCAGCCTTGCTCCAGCGCTTCCTGGTGGGCCTCGGAGTCTCTCCACAAGTCTTCGACGAAGAACGGTCCCATGCCAACATGCCCATGCCCAGCAAGAGCCGATCCGCTCTGCACTGGATGATCGCACGTCAGGGAAGGTTGAACACCGCAGGTGCCCTAGAATCGGCCGACATCGAACAATCTGCGTCAGCGGAAGGCGGCGATCGCTCGCAGCTGAACGATCCGCCCGGAGTCAGAAGCCCACGCGAACATCGTCGCGACGTCAGTGGCGACATTCCCGACCAACGTCCGCTCCAGACTGGCCCCTGAGCCATCCCTGGGTCACCCTGGCCGGTCATGCGAGCGTTGTCCAGCCGCGGCGAACGCCCACAGGCCTTCAAGACGACGACGGCGTCGTCGCGTTGAGTTGGTTGCTCTCCGATCAACGAGGTGGCTGTATCTTGTGGGGTGGTCTCCAGGTCAGCTTCCAGTTGTTTTGCCGTCCCTTCCTTTACCCCCTTCTCCAGAGAGGGGGCGGTATGGAGGAGGGAAGACAGGGAAGACGGGAAGAGTGTTCTCCCGATGCTTTCCTGCTGGTGGACAGGGGGAGCAGCCAGTAGATGAGGAGGGAGGAGCCAGTAGATGGGATGAATGCGGATGCTTCAACAACATGGCTGCACCGCTGAGGATGGTCGGCTACTGCCATCGGAAAGAATTCGAAGACTGTCGTCGACTTCCTCGAGAAGAAGTATAAGGAGAGACAGCTGCAGCACCTTTGCAGCCTCTCTGCTCGAGCGGCATTCCAAAGTTAGATCCTCTCTGCTCGAGCGGCATTCCAAAGTTAGATGTATACATGAACATGTAAAAGTATGCATTTCTATGTTGTACACGTACACGTATACACCGAAGTCATGGGTACCTCTCTCCAGGTGGACACGCCATAGATTTCTGCTCCTCGCTGCTCATTCTGTCACATCATCCACACCTCGCCCCAGTAGTGTACGTACAGCGGGCAAGATCCCGTTCTGATCGAAGATGACGTTCGGCTGAGATTTTGACACGAAGATCGGGAGGAGAGTCAAGCGAGGAGGCGGGATAGAGGGTGCCAGAGCCGTTCTCCAACAGGAACCCAGTCACACCAGGTACACGTATTTGGGCAGTGATTGCGTTGGTTGACCTCACGATAGTGTTCCTCGCCCCTTTCGTATTTCTTCCTTCTTGCTCTTCCCTTTGTTACTCTCTTCCTCACCCTGGTCTCGTAGGTCCGCGCTGCTGATCTGCACCATAGACGTTTACTAGACGGCCTTGGGCGTTTGCTAAAAAGCCCTGCCCTGTTCGACTCCTTCCGCGGGTGCGTTTACTAAACAGCTTCGCTTGTCAGGATGATGATTATGGGGGTGGATGTTCTGCCCTTTCTCCTGGGGCGTCTTGAAGGCATCGTGGGCCGTCTGAAGGCCATCTTGGGCGTCTTGGAGCGACCTCTTTCGGCGGCTCGCGGCCTCCTTGGACCGTCTGGGGGGCCCACGAGGGCCCTCGTGGACCCCTTTGGGGGCCCTCGATTCCCCTCCACGCTCCCGAGCTGGAGCCGCCTGGGGGCCACTGGTTCCGGCCACCAGGCGGGGCGGGCCGGTTCGAGGTTATCGGGGGCGGCCAAGAGGGGGGTGATGATTTGGGGGGGGGGGATATCATGGCGCGGGCCACGAGATCTCCCCAGATCTCATGGCGCCTCTTCTCATTTCGTGACGTCCCTGGCCCCTTCCCCCCCGGGCCGCGCACATGCCGCCGGCCACGGTTTTGTACCCCGCCCCCCTCTTGGACGGCCCCCCTCCCGGCCGCCCACGAGGATATAGGGGTGCGGGGAAGGGCTTTTGGGCTCTTTGTCTTGCGCTCGGCCTGCGGGCACGGCGCGGTGCGGGCCCCCGGGGCCGTGGAAGACGCGCCCGGGGTGGGAATCTGCACCAGCTGGGCCCCGGGAGTGCTTCATCCCACTTCCTTCGGGAGCGGCAAAGAGCTTGGCATCGCTCGGACGTGTGCATTTTTCCTTCGGCGAGGACCATCGAGGACCATCCATTGAGGAGCCTCCTATGTCCGAGTAGATGGAGTCGGGGGATCGCGCCGCATCGCCGATGCATCGGCGATGCGGTTCGATGCGGAGTCCGATTTTGTCCACGCCGACGTCGGCGATGCATCGCCGACGTGCCCGAGACATCGCCGATGCATCGCCGATGCATCGGCGATGTATCGGCGATGCGGCGCGGTCCTTCGACCCCATCTACTCCGAGCCCATCTAGGAGTCCTCCAGGGAAACTGCACCAGCTGGGCCCCGGGAGTGGCCCAGATTTGGCTTCATCCCCTTTCCTTCGGGAGCGGCAAAGAGCTTGGCATCGCTCGGACGTGTGCATTTTTCCTTCGGCGAGGACCCTCGAGGAGCATCCTTGATCATCTGGCAAAGAAAGCCACGCACGAAACCAACAAAAAACACAGGGAATGGACGTCCGAGCGATGGCAAGAGAGGGGGGTGATGGCTAGGGGTGGGTGGGTATCATGGCGGGGGCCATGATATTTCCTCAGATTTCATGGCGCCTCTTCTTGTTCCATTACGTCCCTAAGCCCCCCGCTGGTCCGCGCACATGCCGCCAGTCATGATTTGCATCCCCCCTCTTGGACATTTCCCTCTTGGCCGCTCCCGATTCCTGTCCGATGTCTTCTGGGGTCGCAAACAGCTCAGACGCCCTGGCCGCCTCTGACTCCCAAGATGTTTGTGGACCACTCTTCGCCTTCTGCTGTCCCGTCTGCCGTGGATCTTGCCGGGCTTCCGTTGGGATCGGGCTTCCTGGGACTGGTATTAAGACGGGCCTGTCCCTCTACAGGAGGAATTTCCCAAAATAGTCAAACAATAGTCTGGGGATGAGTTTTTGAACATGTTTGAGTATTTCAGTATATGGTTTGACTATTTTTCATCTTTCGTCCAAGAACCCCCTGTAGAGGGACAGGCCCGACTTAAGAATGGTATTCGCTGGAGTGGGGTTGCTCCCATTTGCCGTGCTTGTGCTCGCCGTCCGCTCGAGACTGCCGGGCTTTGCGTTGGGATGGATGCCGGAGCGCTAGGGTTAAGTCGGGGCCGTCCCCCTACAGGAGAAATATTCTGAAATAGTCAAAAATAATATAGGTATATGTTTTGAGTATGTTTGGGCATCTTTTGAGTAGTTTTGGAATCTTCGTTATTTGTCGTCCAAGATCTTGTAATTAGGGGGACAGGCCCGACCTGAGCTTTGCATTGGGATGAATGCTGGAGCGCTAGGGGAGGTGACCTCGGCCCCACGCAACACATTTTATTGCAGGACTAGTCTCCGCTGAGCGAGGCGAGCTCGGCCCCTTCGCCGCATACAGTGCCCTGCAAGACAAAACGAGCATCAGCATCTACACGAACATGTAACTACTTGGGTCCTTTGTAGAGTTCGATGCCTCGGTCGCCGTCTCTGCGGCAGGGTGTTCATCAGTCGTCCCGCCTGACGCTCCAACGCGATGGTTGCCTTTGTCAGCCTTTGTATCCGTGCTGTTCCATCCTGCTTCTTCGCCTTTGCCGAACACAGATTTCAAGACCGCGACTATGATTCCACAACATGTGATTATGTTGTCGTCCCTCCCTTTATCCATTCTCGGCCGCCTCCCCCCGAGGAAGACATGGACAACGACACCACCGTGAAGCTGGCGCTCAAGGGGTTGCTGGAGGTCACCGAGGCCGCTCAGCTCAGCCGTTCTGAGGGATGTCGAGTTTGACAGCATGTTTCAGTCCGCCTCTCATTCGTCGTCGCCCTCCCTCCAACCAACCCCTTCCGATCTCCTCCTCCTTGCCCTCCTCCGCTTGTCCCCCCTTCCTCCTAGAATGACCCAGAGGATGGTAAATAGGAGAAGGAGGAGGAGGAGGAGAAGGATCGGTGGAGGAGGAAGATGGTGGAGGCGGTGGAGGATGTGCTGCATGAGAATTGTGTTGTAGACTGCGTGTTGGAGAGGGAGGCGACGGAGGGGGAGGAGGCGGAGGATGGGGAGGTTGATGGAGAAACCAAAAGGTACCGATATTGTTACTTCCCGGACCTCTCTTGAGGTGCGTTTTGACCAGGATTTCGAGGCGGATCCAGCGGCGGCGACGAGGGCCTCCGAGGAGGCCCCAAAAAGAGGACAACGAGCAAAGGGTAGAGGTATGGGTACCTTCTCCTTCTCCTCCTCTGAGTTGAGGGCGAGGTGGCTGAGGAGCGGCAGGACCAGGAGCGGCAGGCGGAGGAGGCAGAGGGAGGGAGCGGCCAGAGGTGCGGCAGAGGCGGGAGAGGCCCGTGGGCCGCGGGAGGAGCTGGAGCAGTGCGCAGGACGATCACACAGCTCCAAACGGGGCCATCCTCTTCCCCCCCCTCCTCCTCCTCCTCCTCCTCCTCCTCCTCCTCCTCCTCCTCCTCCTCCTCCTCCTCCGCAGCCATTCTGGCTCAAGCCAGCGCGGTTCAGGCTAGCTTGGGCCGGCAGATGGCGCGGGAGCCCCTCCGGGGTGCTGGGGCCTGGGCTGCCGCGGACCGCCTCGTTCAGCGGCTGGTGCAGGAGCTGTCGGAGGCCCGGCTGGAGATCGAGCGCCTCAAGGGCCTGCTGGTGCCAGCTGGCGGAGTCGCCCCAGGCTCTTGGCGCGAACGAGAGCTGGCGGCTCGGCCGGCCTTGCAGGCCGCTGCTGCAGGCGCTCGAGTGTGCGGCCGACGCAGGCGCCGCCGCAACGCCGCGTTGCACGCGCTGCGCGTGCCAATCGGCGGCTTCGCGACGGCTTCCGACGCGGCCATCGCAGAGGTGGCAGCAGGGCCGCGCCTCGGGGCCTTCGGCGGGCTGGCCGCGCGTGAGCCCGTGGAGCGCATCGTCTAGATCTGCCTGGCGGAGGCCGCCGTGGTCCTCCCGCGGTTGGAGGTCGAGGTCTGCGCTGCGGAGCCTGCGGGTTCGCGGCCTGAGGGGGCGCCCGCGCGCCGCACGCCGCTGCGCTCCGCGGCGAGGCCTTACATCCCAACGCCGCCTGGCGTATGGGGCCGTCTGAGCCTACAGCCCAGCAGCGACGAGATCGCCGAGGCGGTTTTCGAGGGGCTGGGCCGCGGGCCCCTGGCGCCGCTGGGCAGGGCTGAGCCTGGCCCTCCCCGTGAAGGGGGTTGGAAGGCAGGGGCTGAGCCTGGCCCTCCCCGCGAAGGGAGTTGGAAGGCAGACGCGGGCGGTGCTGCAGGCGCTGGGACGCCGCCGCCGCCGCTGGCACACCCGGAAGGCCATGCTGGAGCACAGCGTGGCATTGCAGTCGCGGGGGCTTCCTGGTGGAGAGCGCGGGCGTGGGTAGCCAGCGCCTGGATTGGCGCGCCCGGCGCCAAGGATTCCTGTCGCGACGCGGGCGACGAGCTGCAGAGCGAGAAGAATGCGTCGGACATCGGCAAGGACAGTGGCCTCACGTGCGTGTCGGGGCCTGCGGCTGTCGCGTGGTTCGAGAAGCACAAGAAGCTCGTGACGGCGATCGTGCATTGGAGGCGATTTGTGATCGGGGCCGTCGCGGATGCCGACATTGCCTTGTGGGACTTCGTCTACAGGGTCGGCGTGGGCAGAGTCCGGGGTCGAACCCAAGCCAGGCCTACGCTCAGGAAGGGATCCTGAGGGATTCCCGCGCGCTAATGTATTGCATGACCTTTTAGGTTTAGTCTAGCCTCCTCCTCCTCCTTCTCCTTCTCCTCCTCCTCCCCCTCCTCATCATCATCCTCCTCCTCCTTCTCCTTCTCCTCTTCTTCCTCCTCGGGAGAGGGATTTCTGAGACGGGCGATGCCGCTTTCGCAAGTCCGCTCGGCTTCAGGCGCATGGTCGCCGCGCGACGCTTTCGCTCGCCCTTCCGAGGTCTCAAGTGCGACGCCGCGGTCTGAGACGTTCCCATCGCTGGCGTCCCTTGACGAAGCACGTCGGACGAGGAGATTGGGGGGTTGGATTGGGAGGGCGAGCAGTGGCAGCAGAATGCGGAGGAGACGTGCGGACAGAGTTGGCCCTTGGAGGCCGCCCCGCGGGAATGGTCAGCCTCGCCCTCCGAGGCCGGCCCGGAGTGCTCCGAGGTCCCCGGAGTGCCACGATGTCTCACGGTGGTTTACGCTGCGTCTTCGTCTTCCTCCCTGTGCCGTTGACGTCGGGTTGGATGAAAGCCTCTGCTGCACGCTGCGCTGCGGCCTGCTCCTTGGCCTGCAGTTCCTGGCGTTCCCCCTGAAGCTTGCGTAGACGTAGCACTTGTTGGGCCAGTTGTCGCCGCGCACGCTCGAGCCAGGTAGCGGCCTTCTGCACCTTGGCCTTGAGCTGGTCATGCCCATGCTTGTCCTCGCTGGACACAGCCATGGGGTCGCCGCGCTGCGCTGCCCGCTGAGCCGACAGACACGAGCGTTGCTGAGCAGGAAGCAGCCCAGGGACAGCGGCGAAGTCGTCGTCGTCCATCGAGAGGAAGGCCTGCTGCTGCAAGTCATCGATGTTATAAGCCCGATGAGCAGCACCATTGCCAGGCGGACCGCGGGCCCACGCACCAGCGAGCGGCTGCGGGGTTCTTCTCGTCGGGCGCAACCGGAGCGGGCGCGCCGCAGCGGTAGCAGGTGCTGCCCCAGCTGAAGTTGTTGGCGCGCTTGCGCTTCCTGACGCCGCACGTCCAGGCGTGCTGACTCCACGACTGCCGTGGGGTACGGCGGAAACTGAACGGGGGCCCCGTCGGAGCAGGAGGAGTCCCCGACAGGGGTGCAAGGCAATGCGCCTGGGCGCCCGCTCGGTGGTTGTCTCGCACAGCGGAAACCCAAGGATTGAAGCCCCCACGGCTTGGGGCTTCAGCCTTGAACCAAACTTGCTACGGACGCCTACTCCTCCTCCTGCTCTTCCTCCTCCTCTTCCTCCTCCTCCTCCTATTCCTTCTCCTCCGTCCGCTCCACATCCTCTCCACCGCCGCCGCTGTCGCTTCCTCCTCCTCCTCCTCGTCCTCCGTCCTCTCCCCTTCCTCGCTGCCGCTGCCGCCGTCGCCCGCCGCAACGTGCATCCATCGCGCCAGCGCGCGTTTCGGAGGCTTCTGGCAAGAACATCGAGATAGTGTTGATCACCCAGGAGGGTTTGTCGCGCTGTCTTTTTTGCCACTTCCCGCCGCGCAGGTTGGGACGCTCGAGAAAAAATAGTATGTTTGTTGTCTTTCTCGCTCTCTTTCTCCCTCTCGCTCTCTCTCTCTCTCTCTCTCGCTCTCGCTCTCTCTCTCTCTCTCGTTCTCCCTCTCTCCCTCTCGTTCTCTTTCTCTTTCCTTCCCTCTCTCTCTCTCTCTCGGGGCATGCATGCCGAAACGTGCTTCACAGATCGGGAGTGGCATTCCCGAATCGCCGTGCCCTTCGTTGCTCTCCAGTCGTAGCCGTTTTCCTGGTGGCGCCTGGGGGGGAGTTGTTCACTGCCCCCGGGTCTGCCAGCGGCTCCTCCCGCCCAACGGGTGCGGGCAATGGCGCATGTGGCCCCGCCCGTGGATCAGCTCTGGTCCGAACTGTTGCTCTCTGTCTCTCTCTCTCTCTCTCTTTCTCCATCTCTCTCTCTCTCTCTCTCTCTCTTTCTCTCTCTCTCTCTCTCTCGCTGCTTCTGTCTTGACGTGTATGTTATTTCGTTGTTTGATTTCTCTCTATACATATATAGAGAGGGAGAAACAACAAAAAGAGAGGAGACGGTATGTGTTTATGTTATCTCTCTCGATGTGGTTGGCGCTAATTTTCTTTTATATTTATATACATATAACGGCGCACCGGGTCCGGGGGCCCGGGGCCGGGACCCCGACCACAAATGTGGGCCCCAGGGGGCCCGGAGGCTCGTCGGGGCTTGCCGGAGGCCTCCCCGGTCAGACAAGACGGCCCAAGAAGCGCCCAAGACGGCCCAAGCAATTTCCAAGAGGCCTCCAAGAGGGCTCCAAGATGCTGAAGATGGCCTCCAGACGTCCAAGGACGCCCCCAAGACGCCCCAAGAAGCCTCCAACATGCGCTCCAAGAGGGCCCCTAGACGCAAAAGTTGGCCCATTCACTTCGTAAAACGTACATTTTTCACAAAGTTGCCTTTTGGGCTTTCCGACGTTACAGGACGGCCCAAGAGGCGCCCAAGACCGCCCCAAGACGGCCCAAGAAGCTTCCAAGAGGGCCCCAGGACAGCCCAAGAGGGCCCCAAGACGGCCCAAGAGGCGCCCAAGATGGCCCAAGAGGGCCCCAAGACGGGCCCAAGAGGGGGCCCAGAGGGGGACCACGAACCGCAAGCTCGAGCCTTCCGCCCCAAGAGGCCGCCAGGAGGCCCCAAGGAGGCCCCTCAAGAGGTCCCAGGAGACCCCCAAGAGGCCCAAAGGAGGCCCCGAGAAGCCCCAAATCGGCCCCAAAAATGCTTCGAACCTGCTTCCAGGAGGCCTCCGACAGGTTCAGAGGCTCCCGAGAAGCTACGTCAAACTCCCAGCGAGCGGCCAGACGAGGCCCCCAAAAAAATCCCAAGAGGGTCCCAAGAGGGTTCCAGTATTTGTATCCTTCAGCGCTCTCTGGCCTTCTTCCCCCTGCCCCCTTCCCTGCGACTTTCGTTGACTCAAGCTCGCCTCCTCTCCATTTCCTCTCTCTGCCTCTCTCTCTCTGTCTTTTTTGTTGTTTCTCTCTCTCTCTCCATCTCTCTTTCTCTCTCTCTCTCTCTCTCTCTCTCCTTCGCTCTCTGTCTGTCTGTCTCTCTCTCCCTCTCTTTCTCTCTTTCTCTCTCTTCCTTTCACGTTCTGTGTCCTTGCGACCTTCTGCAGTCCCCGACGTCGCCACGGCTGGATCCGCTCGAGCGTGTCTTGTGATGTGCGGCGGTGCGAAGCCCGTCCCACTGATCAAGGCATAGGTACGAAATGATGGGTCCATCATTTCTTGCCTTCCCATGTGCGTTTTCCCAATCGATTCCTGGGCCCGAGGTCGCAAAAATTACGACGTCGGAGGTCTGGGGAGGCGGGAAGCACGACCTGGACCTCCGACGTCTTGGAAAAATCACGACGGCGGTTTTTGTTAATTTTCGGCCTCCGGGGCCCCTCGCAGGTTCCCGGGACCGTCAGAAAACGACTCAGGATGAAAACGACTTGGGCTACAGGGCTATTGGGCTACAGGGCTATAGGGCTGTAGGGCTATAGGGCTATAGGGCTAGGGCCATAGGGCTATAGGGCTATGTGGGCTATTCGGCTATTGGGCTATAGGGTTGTTGGGCTGTAGAGCTATGGGGCTATAGGGCTACAGGGCTATAGGATCAGAGGGCTATAGAGCTAAAGGGCTAGATGGATATAGGGATATAGGGCTATTGGGCTATAGTCCTATAGGGCTATACGGCTATAGGGCAATAGGGCTACAGGGCTATAGGGCGATAGGGCACCCCCAGGCACCCCGGCACCCGGGCACCGGGCACCCAGGCACCCAGGCACCGGGCACCCGGGCACCCAGGCACCCGGGCACCCGGCCCGGCCGCATGGGGCCGGAATCTTGCCGAACCTCATCGAACCTTTTAATCCGCCAGGACCCTTACAGAGGCAAGCTCTGATTGGGTACTAACCCATGGCAACCGCCGCTACCTTCGTCGCCGCGATCGCCGCCGTCTTCATCGCCGCCGTCGTCGACGTCCTCGGGTTCTGTTCGGGCACCCTCTGGCCATCTCGTGGGGCACGCTGGGGGATTATCAGAGGCATCCGTACGTATCCTGAGGGGCCCCGCGACTTCCCCCAGAGACTCTAACTACAGAAACTCCTTTCGTATCCCGGCCAGAAGCATCCAGAAACGATGTACATTAGCCCTGGCGGGGGGAATGATGGCGATGGTGATGTTCATGATGACGACGGTGACGATCCTAGCTAGAACCTAAGCGCGCGCGAAGCGCGCGCGTGGTTCTAGTATATATATATATATATGTATGTATGTATATATATACAAGTTTGCAGTGGCGCTTCGCGCCATGCACCTTGGTCCTTGAAGTTTGGTATGCAGGCGGACTAGCAGGAAGGTCAAGCCGACAATTTAGCGACAATTCCTAGTTGCCTTTTCCGGCATCGCCGCTATAATAATGTTTTTCGTTATCCTTCCTCCATGCTTCGTTTTCTTTGTTTTCGCCATGCCTTGCGCATTCTCCCCATCCTCCTCAGCTCTTGTTTGCGGAGGCTCCTCCTTGGAGAGCCTCTAGGGGCCTGACAAAAGTTGTTTCAGGCTTTCTGAAGGCCTTCTGGAGGCCTCCTGGGCGTATTCTGGGGGCCTCTGGGGGCTTCCTCGGGCCACCCTGCCTCCAACCGCGGTCTCCCTGAACGACCGAATCACGATTTGGAATTCTTCGGAGGGTGTCTGTGGGCCATCTGGGGCCGCCA